AAGGCGAGAGCCACAATCTGAAAACGACCCGCCCTTAATCCGTGAAGCTGTTGCAATTTTTTAGAGCGAATGTGCGCCGCGCTAAGGCGAGAGCCACATTTTGAAAACCACCCGCCCTCAATCCGTGAAACTCTTGCAAATGTTTACACCGAGTGTGCGCCGCGCTAAGGCGGGAGCCACAATTTGAAAACCACCCGGCCTCAATCCGTGAAGCTCTTGCAAATGTTTATACCGAGTGTGCGCCGCGCTAAGGCGAGAGCCACAATCTGAAAACCACCCGCCCTCAATCCGTGAAGCTCTCGCAAATGTTTATACCGAGTGTTCGCCGCGCTAAGGCGAGAGCCACATTTTGAAACCGACCCGCGCTCCATCTGTGAAACTGTTGTCACGATTTAAGCTTCAGAGTCATAAATGGTTAGGAAGTCTCAGGCGAAACGCCCGGCCCGCCCTAAAAACTGGCTTCGCGGTGCGTCAGCGACAAGTTATTTGTAAGGGAAAGGAATGGAGGAGGAGGAGGAGGAGGAGGAGGAGGAGGAGGAGGAGGAGGCAGGAGAGGAGGAGGAGGAGGAGGAGAGGAGGAGGAGGAGGAGGAGGAGGAGGAGGAGGGGAGGCGAGGAGGAGCTAGAGGAGGAGGAGGAGGAGGAGGAGAGGAGGAGGGAGGAGGAGGAGGAGGAGGAGGAGGAGAGGAGGCGGAATGAGGAGGAGGAGGAGGAGGAGGAAGGAGGAGGAAGGAGGACGGAGAGGAGGAGGAGGAGGAGGAGAGAGGAGGATGGAGGAGGCGGAGGGAGGGAGGAGGAGGAGGAGGAGGAGGAGGAGGAGGAGGGGGAGGAGGAGGAGGAGGGTGGAGGAGGGAGGAGTGAGGTGGAGGAGGATGGAGGAGGAGCGAGGAGATGGTGGGGGGGAGGAGGGAGGAGGGGAGGTCAGGGAGGAGGAGGGGAGGAGGAGGAGGAGGAGGAGGAGGAGGAGGAGGAGGAGGAGGAGGAGGAGGAGAGGAGGCGGAGGAGGAGGAGGAGGAGGAGGAGGGTGGAGGAGGAGGAATGGAAGAGGAGAGGAGGAGGAGGAGGAGGTGTAGAGGGGGGAAGTATGAGGAGGAGGAGGAGGGCAGGAGGAGGAGGAGGGGGAGGAGGGAGGAGGAGGAGGAGGAGGAGGAGGGATGGAGGTGGAGGACGGAGGAGGAGGGGGAGGAGGCGGGAGGCGGAGGCGGAGAGGAGGGGAGGAGGAGGAGGAGGAGGTAGGGGAGGAGGAGGTGGAGGTGGAGAGGAGGAGAGGAGGGAGGAGGAGGAGGAGGAGGCGGGGGGAGGCGGAGGGGGAGGAGGAGGTGGAGGAGGAGGAGGAGGAGGAGGGGGAGGAGGTGGAGGAGGAAGAAAGAGGAGGAGGAGGAGGAGGAGGCTGGAGGAGGTGGAGGAGGTGGCGGGGAGGAGGAGGAGGAGAGGAGGAGGAGGAGGCGAGGAGGAGGAGGAGGAGGAGGAGGAGGAGGAGGAGGAGGAGGAGGAGGAGGAAGAGGGGAGGAGGCGGAGGACGACGACGACGACGAGGGGGCTCATGGCGATAACGATCTTCATACTAGGGGAGGGGCATGAAAGGATCGATGCGATATGCCACCATACGTGAATAAGGGGAGGTACAACCCTCAAGATCCAGTGATGCCTGGCTCGCTGCGGGCACCGCCGCTGCGCTTCGAGAACCCGCTAGGCGCCTGCCACGTTTCGTCATGAGAGTTGCCCGCCAGCCCATCCCTTTGCTCTCTGCTCCGAGGAGCGCGGGCCGAAACGGGGAGGCACACGTCTGCTCGTCTGCACGGGCCCTCGTCGCGAGTGTGAGCCTGCTCCCGCACACGCCCTGGAAGCCAGCACGATCTGCGGGTTCTCTGGGGGTCTCGCGGCCTTCCTTCGCCCCGCCCCTCGCCCCCACCTGTGCGCCCCTGTGCTCGGGGGTGGACCGACCCCCCACCGTGACACGTCCATTAGGGAATTGTGCGTTTTCGGTTCTCGAGAGGGCGCCGCGGCCGTCATTTCCAGGCTTGCGCCCGCCAGGTTTGGGCCCGATGCCGTTTTCACTGAGCCACGTTTTACGAAAGGGGGGTCCGTCCACCCCCGATGTGCCTCAATTCGCAGCGAATGCGTTCCGCCATTTGCCTGACCGCCTGTCGGACCCAACTCGTCGCCGACTAACCAAGCCAGTTTCGGTCCTGCCCCTGCCGCAGCCAGAGAGCACCCGACCAGGGCCAGACAGGTACAGTGGAGACCCTTACCAAGAAACACCCTGCTTGCCTCCAGGGTGCCCTGGGTTTCTTGGGTTTCCGTGGTTTTGCGATGGGCAGCGCGACGTTCCCACGCCCAAAAATCAATGGACGCCCTGGGGTCTCAGGGTTGGATTTCTTGTGGAAGGTTTCTTGTGGACTGACCTCCACTGTAGTTCAATCTCATAGCCTTCGGCCCATCCCGCCACAGTACCTGGGTTATGGGTGAGAGTCCTCAGGGATGCTTCCTGGGGTCTCTTCGGAGCGCTCTCGGGGGCCTCCTGGGGCATTTTTGGGGCCTCCTGGGGTCTCGAGGGCATTCGGGTGGGGTCGCGATTCTCATGTCGGCGAAGCTGGTCGCCGTCCCCAAACAGGTTCTACCCGCGACTTGCCCGTTGAAGTCCATCTCTGACTTCGGGCATGACCATTATAGCAGTGCGGCGAGAGGTTTCAGCTGCAGGGTGCATGCGAGCTGGCCGAGCACCGTCGCGCCAGGCATACTTGGTCGTGCGAAGGCCAGTGTTCGCAGGGCGATGAAGACATTGCAAGCCGTTCGATTCGAACTGTGCTCGCTCCACCCCTCTCCCCGCCTTCCTCTTCGTGGAGTTCGCATCCAGGGCGGGGGGATTTCTAAGTTTCTTTGAGGCCAAACTCGTTCTTCTTCTCACGGCCTGTTTTGCTCGCAGAGGAGAGCATGCGAGAACATACTCAATCAGTATGGCGACGGCGGATCCAAGAAGGTCGATTCTCAACGATGCAGGTGCAATCATTACACCCAGACACTTGAGAGCGAAATGGCGGGTCACATTTGCAGTGCTGCAGGCACTCAGAGGCCGATCGCCCGTGCTTCCCCACGGAGCTTGCGCTAGGGGCTTCCGTCTTGTACGGTGGCATCAAGGCTGGGCTCCGTGTGCCGAGTCTGGTGGCTGCCCAAGCAGTGGACGGTCTGACGGTGATGTGGGTAACGGCGATGTAGGTTTCGGCAGCGTGGGAACGCGTGGCTCGCGCTTGCTTGCAATTCGCCGTGACGTGCTCACTCGATCCGTTCGCAGATCTGAGCTATAGGAACGTGTGATTCGTGACTGCCTACTATTTGTCTCCCAACATCACCGTTAAGCAGCATCGCCGTTAGCCCAGCCTTGGCCGTGCCGCCCCATCCGCAGGGTCCTGCCGCCCCATGTCGTCGTCGTCGTCGTCGTCGTCGTCGTCGTCGTCGTCGTCGTCGTCCTGCGCCCGGGTCCGATCACGTTACCGCTACCCCTCACAAGGCCTCGTCTTTGTCGTCGTCGTGGTCGTCGTGGTCGTGGTTGTCGTCGTGGTCGTCGTGGTTGTCGTGGTCGTCGTGGTCGTCGTGGGCGTCGTGGTCGTCGTGGTCGTCGTGGTCGTCGTGGTAGTCGTGGTCGTCGTGGTCGTCGTGGTCGTCGTGGTCGTCGTGGTCGTCGTGGTCGTAGTCCTCGTTGTCGTCGTCGTCGTCGTCGTGGGTCCTGGCCGTTGTTGCCCCAGCAGAAGTTGATAGCTGCCAGTGGGCCACCGCTTACGGGGTCCTGGCCCTGGCTGCTTTCGTGCGCTGCTCGGGTTGGCAGTTGCTCGTCGGGCCCAGCCCATACACACGCCGCTGGTTGAAAATAGGTATTCTGGATTCCCAGATCGCAATCTACTCTAGGCGCCTTCCTACTTCAAGGATCGACATGCTTTTTCTGCTACTTCCTGGCCCTGGCTGCTTTCGTGCGCTCGGGCTGGTGGTTGTCCCTCGGGTCCATCAAGCGTGTGCGCACTGCAGCGGGCCTCCCCAGCGGCGCCTCGCCGACACGGTTTTCGCACGATCTGCCAGTGCTGGCTCCGGGCGCTGCTGACACCCGTCGCGGCTCAGCTTCTCCCTCCCCCCCATGCCTCCTCAGTTTCTACCTCCCCTCTTCCCAAGTCGCACCTCCCTCCGTTCGGCGTTCTCGTCGCCAATCTTCCTCCATTTACCTAGACTGCGCCACAATAATTACCTTACTTGTGCCGCACGTAGGTTGCCTGAGTTAAACCATGTATTGGAGGCCGACCTACTTGCACCAAATAGCTTGCACCACATAGGCTCTCTCCTCTCTCTCTCTCTCAAGAATTCGGATCTACCCCCACGCCGAGACCAGACCCAGGAGTCGCCCTTGGCCTTGTTTTCCTCCACAGCTATCCTGGATCACCGCCCATTCTAAGTAACAGCTGGTTGCATGCGTAGCCAACTGATATCGATTCCACGCCCCCGTCATCCCTTGCAACAGATCGATGCGGGGCACACGCGTTGATCTATCAAGTGCATAACAATTCCACACGAATCGCACCCACCAGGTCTGTTAACCAGCGCAGTTCGGGCCACACGCGCGCGTCTCCGCGAGCGCATGCCGAAACCATTGAAAAACTATGGTTTCCAAGCTTTTCAATGTAGAGGTGCTCACCAACGCATCAAACTGTCTCTCATCACGAAATCTGCCAGAGTTTCTGCGCGTGCACATCATCATCACCACCATCATCATCGTTGTCGTCGTCGTCGTCGTCGTCGTCAGCATCAGCATCAGCATCAGCACCAGCATCAGCATCAGCATCAGCATCAGCATCAGCATCAGCATCAGCATCAGCATCAGCATCAGCATCAGCATCAGCATCAGCATCAGCATCAGCATCAGCATCAGCATCAGTACCATCACCAGCACTGTCATCATCATGACCATCACCATCACCATCACCATCACCATCACCATCACCATCACCATCACCATCACCATCACCATCACCATCACCATCACCATCACCATCACCATCATCACCGTCATCATCACCATCGTCATTATCATCGTCGTCATCATCAGCATCCTCGTCGTCACCATCGTCATCATCAGCATCAGCATCGACATCAGCGTCAGCATCAGCATCAGCATCATTGGCGCCATCATCATCATCATCATCGTCATCCTCATCTTCAGCATCATCATCACCTTCACATCCATCATCATCAACATCATCCTCATCAACAACATCATCATCATCATCACCCTCATCATCACCATCATCATCATCATCATCATCATCATCATCATCATCATCATCGTCGTCGTCATTTTCAGCATCAGCATCAGCATCAGCATCATCACCAACATGCTCGTCATCACCATCACCGCCATCACCGTCATCATCACTATTGCCATCATCATCCTCATCCTCATCCTCATCATCAGCACCAGCATCGACATCAACATCAACATCAGCACCAACATCAACATCAACATCAACATCATCAGCATCAGCATCAGCATCAGCATCATCGTCATCATCGTCAGCACCATCGCTATCATCATCTCCAGCGTCATCGTTGCGAATGTCATCATCATCAAGATCACCATCACCAGCAGCGTCGTCATTCTCACCACCAACATCTTCATCATCGTAATCGTCATCATTGTCACCGTCGTTGCCGTCGCCCTCGTCATCATCGCCACCGCGATTATCATCATCGATCTCGTGGCCGATGTCGTCGTCACTATCATCACTCGTCGACCCGAGCAATGGATTTGCATGAGTCGGCCCTGCGTGTCACTACGCCTGTTGAGATTTGCACGCAGGTTCCGATGGGTAACTGCAGTAACGGTCCTAAGAGCTCTGCCAATAAGTCGTAGGTGGGATGTTTGCTCGAGCATGGAAGATGGCCACGCGTGGATGGCACTCCTGGGGCCCTCAGGAATGCTTCTTGGCCCCAACTTTGTTCACAACTGGAAAGTCAAGAAAAAACAGCACATCCTGTTGTTGTTACTGACTGTTTTTTTCTGTTGCTGCTGCTGCTGCTGCTGCTGATGTTGTTGTTGTTGTTGTTGTTGTTGTTGTTGTTGTTGTTGTTGTTGTTGTTGTTGTTGTTGTTGTTGTTGTTGTCATGTGGTTGTTGTTGTGACTGTAGCCTGCCCAGTGGTTGCCCACAAGCCTGTTATAGCTGACCTTCGGGCTCGTCTGGGGAATGCTTCTGCACTGAACGCGCTCCAGGATCAATTCTGGGCGAGCCTGGGCCGGCCGCGGCCGACACTCTTCCGCGTTCGAGCTTTCCTCGACGGCTCTGCCTGACTCCGTCGCGTCGCTGCGCGCGCGTGCGTGCGCGTGTGCCTGTTTTGTCCAACCTTGCCCTGGGGAGCTGTTGTTGGCAAGCCGGCAGCCGATGCCAAGGCTCTGCCATATTCGATTGGCCTTGGAATGTTCAATGGGATGCCGTGGGGAGACGCGCATATCGTTGATGCATTTGGAGTTTTCGTGATGGTTGATTAGGTCGTTGAAATGCTTCCCGGCAGTCTCAATAACCAGCTTCCAGGTGTCGGCGTGGGCGGCGGCACATCGACATTGCCAGGAGCTTTCAAGCGTGGTGACCTGCGAGGGAGTCTATCAGAGCCCGCTCTACATGGCTCCGAGGCTGCAACTGTCCTGTTCTGCTTGCGGTCGGTTGGCATCAGCCGTCGTCGGTCACCCTGTGTATGTTCTTCCATTCAATTTCTCACGTTCATGCCTTTGTCCGTGCATTCTGCATCAGAGGTGGTGCCACCATCGCCACCACTTTCAAGAGCACTCGTACCATCGTCACCGTGCTGCCACCATGGTCACCGCAAGCCCATTCATCGGCACTGCAATGGTGCATTTGCGATGCGGCTGTGTTGTCCCGTGAATTGCAATGCTCGCCGCTACCAACCCGTTTTGGAGCAATTGTCTATATTCCTCGCGCTTCGTGTCAGCACGTCTTTGCATGCGACCGTCATTGTTCGACTCCTCTTTGGAGACTCAGTGTAACTACGCCGCTCTTCTTGGGGCCTTCGCGCAAAGCCTTTTTCGAGGGCACCGCTAGAACTAGTTTTTCGTGAAGCAGCCGACTGAACTGAACTTGTCGCGCCTGCTAGCACACGGTCGACCGCGCAATCGACCACAGTCTTTTTGAAGTTTCGGTGGCCGCTGGGGCATCCTATAGCGCAGCCAACAGGCCTTTCTAGGTTTCGGCGGCCAGTGGCGCAAACTACGGCGCAAGCCAATCGCCTTCACAGTACAGCCTCTGGCACAATCTTTGGTACACCCTGTTGCGTAGCACGTGGCGCAATTCAGGGCGCGACCTACGGCGCAGCCTGCGGCGCAACCTGTGGCGCAACTTCTGGCGCAACTTCTGGCGCAACCTTTGGCTCAACCTGTGGCAGAGCACGTGTCGCAAACCGTTTCGCGACTCTCGTGCAATCTATGTCGCGACCTTTATGGCGCAGCCTATGGCACATCCTATAGCGCAACCAATGGTGCAACCTGTGGCGCAACTTGTGAAGCTCGGGGGTGAGGCAGGACGCAGGAGGGAGGATGGACCTACGGCGCAGCTCATGTCGCAAGACATGGCGCAACCTCTGGCGCAACCTCTGGCGCACACTGTGGCACAACGTGTAGTGCAGCCAGCGACGCAATCTGTGGTGCAACCTCTGACGCAGCGCGTGATCAGTGGCGCAAGCAATGGCGCCGAGCATGTGGCGCAGTCTGCGGCGCAACCTATGGACATCGGGGGACCCAGACCCCCGACGTCGTGTTTTTCACATCGTCGACCCCCACAGGTCAGACTCCTTCCGCGGGACCAGTTTTTCATCCTGAGTCGCTTTCTGACGGTCCCGAGGCCCGGTAAGAGCCCCCAGAGGCCGAAAATAGCGAACAGCCTCCCGTCGTGTTTTTTTGCACCGCGCGAGGGGGTCTGGGGAGGAGGGCGGACCGAGGAGGAACGACGGGGGGTGGACAAAAAAGGATAGAAAAAAGGAGGGGAAGGATGCAGACAACGACGACGACGACGACGAGGCCGACGCCGAGGAGAAGCAGCCGTGGGCGGGCCCGAGATCAAGCGGCCTGCTGTCGCAGCTTCTTCGGGGCTCTGTTCGGCACGTGCTCCCGCGTTGGGCTGGTCCCAGACCCTCCCAATTTTCGGGTTGGCGGGGTGTACGGGTTCTGCTGTGCTTCCTCGATGTTCTGGAGTGGCCTCCACCGGAAATTGACGACTCCAACGGTGGTTTGGGGTTTGGTTGGAGTGGCTTGGTAGGTAGTCAGGCCGGGGGCCACGGCGAGCTGTCTTTCGATTGGGCCATAGCGGGACAATTTTCGGCTCGCTTTGGATCTTTCTGGGGGGGGGGGCTTCTTTGGACCCCGTTGGGGTCCCCTCGGGGCCTCTTCGGATCTCTTGGGGTGCCTCGGTGGCCTCTTCCTCCCACTGGCCTCTGAGGACCGTCTTGGGCCCCTCTCTGGGCTCTCGGGTGATCTCTTGCGGCCTCGTGGGTCACATTCGTGAGACTCCTGAAGAGCATCGCCGTTCAATGGCGTCTTTACGCATTCTTCTGTACCTCCTAGGGTCCGCAGTGGGCTGCCGTGGACAACGACGCTTGGATGGCAAAGCGTATTTACATGTTGCGAGTTCTGTAGTGCGAATGTTAAGGAAAGGTTAGACATCGCTTGCGCTGAAGGAGCTCTGTTGTGAGCGCAAGAATTGTCATACCGTGGCGGCATTTCGGGCAAGCCAGGACTAGCCCTGTCCAGCCCCTTGCCCTTGTGCGGCTGCTGATGTTGATTGTCTCGGGACTTGGCCACGAGCAGCCCCGAACGCACAGTCGCAACGGCTTGGTTGATTGATTCGAAACTGGGCCTGGCCACCGCGGACTGGCCTCAAGGCGGTACTTTTGCTCGTCCGGGGCTAGGCCCGACCAGTCCTTTGCTTTGCTGTGCCAGCACTGGGGTCAGCTCGACATCAGTGGGGATTAGGGCCCTGCCCTGGCAAGCGCCGACGGCCCCCTTGCTAGGGAGTGGTGTAATTTCGGCTGGCTCGGGGTAGGATCCATCCAGCTAGCCCCTGTTCGCCTATGTGTGGCAGGATTTCGGATTGGTTTGAGGCCAGGTCTGGTAGACACCGATCAGGCAATGACTATGGCTGTGGCGTGGCGACCGCGAGCAGCTCAGACCGGACCCTTGCCTAGGTGTAGCTAGACTTCGGCTAGCTCGAGGCACACCTGCCCAGGCGTGGCGGCACTTCGGGTGGTTCGGAACTGGCCATGACTAGCGCGGGCTTGCCCCGAGGCGGCATTTATTTGGATGTATTTTGGGTTGGTTCGGGGCTAGCCCAAATCAGCAAGTGCGTTTGGTGTGGCTAAATTTCAATGAATTTGGGGCCCGACACGCCGCACATTTATCTGGAGTGGCGGGATTATGGTCGATTATGGACGAGCCTAGTCATGATCACACGATAGTTTTCCTGGTGCCGACGGATGTTCGGTCGATTGGGGTTAACTCCGACTAGCCCCGTCTAGCTCCTTGCCTTGGTGGTGTGGGATTTCGGTTGGTTCGGAAGTAGCCCTGACTGGCGCCGACTAGCCCGGACTAGCCCCTTGCCCTTGCGGCAGCCCCCGACTAGCTCTGGCTTGCCCCTTGCCATGGTGCAGCGGTATTCAGTTTAGACCGGTGACTGGCATCAAGTGCACCTTCACTTTTGCGCGGCGAGATATTATTCAAGTGGCTTACGCCATTCTGCCGACCCCCACAAGGAGTGAGTGATTGAGACGATCGTGAAAGTAATATCTTGGGTCAGGAGCCTCCTGGATGAATATGCGGGTTTCTTGGGATGCCTCTCTGGGGCCTCTTGGAGAACTCTTTGGGGTATGTGGGAGGCTTTATGGGGCCTCGTGGAGGCCTCTGGGGGGCTTCTTGGGGTGTCTCGGTGGCCGCTTGGGGCCTCTTGGAGGGCCCTCGGGGGCCTTTGGGGGACTCGAAGAGCCATCTCAGTGGGAAAGGCTCGAAATGTCAGCTCGTATTCCCCATCTTGGGCTTTCTTGGAGCCCTCTTGGGGCCCTCCAGGGGCTGTCTTGGGCCGTCTTGGGGGGGCCCTGGGGCTGTTTTTTGGGTCCTCTTGGGCCGTCTTGGGGCCTTCTTGGAGGCATCATGGGCCGTATTGGGATAATCTTGGGGGCCACTTGGGCCGTCGTTTTCGCTGTCGAAACGTAAAATGCGAATGTGCTGAAGAAGTACATTGTTCCCCCAGGGAACGGCATGATTTTGGCCTCTTAGGGCCCTCTCGGCGATCCTCTGGAGGCGCTTTTGGGCTGTCTTTGGGGCCTCGCGGGCCATCTTGAAGCCATCTTGGATCGTGGTGGGGTCTACCCTGGGCCGTTATGGCGCTCAATTCGACTGTTTTGGCTGGCGCTCTGTCTGGGCCCCGTTGGAGTGTCTTGGGGCTTTATGGGGGCTCTGGAGGCCCTGGGTGCGTGGACGAGCTCGTGCCCCTCCCCCCCTCCCCCCCCCCCCCCCCCAAAAATGGCAGTTGGGACCCCAGGGGAGGGGGAAGGGGGGACAGCCAAATGTCTCAAAACCGCCTGTTCCCCCCCGGCAGGCGGGGGTCGGCGGAGTTGTCGCGGTAAGCCCCGACAGTCTCCGACTCGCCTCGACAAGCCAGCCGCCTTGACTCGGTTGGGTGTCAGCCTGTCCGGGCCGAGCCGCGGCCAGTCTCGACCGGCCCACTGCCTTCTGGTTCGGGGCCAGGCCCGATGAGCTCCGACCACCTCTTTGCCCCAGCAGGGCGGCGTCGGGATGGTTTCGGGACCATCCCCGACTGTGCCCTACTTGCCCCGTGCCTTGGTGTGGCTGGACATCGACTAGCCTCTGGCCTTGGAACACTAGCCGGCCGCTCTGCGGTTGATCGGGAGTTTCTGTATATAGAAGAAGGTGCGTGCGCCTGTTGGCGAGGGTGAGGATGAGGTTCCTCCTCCTCCTCCTCCTCCTCCTCCTCAGCCGCAATTTCAGACACGAACGAGTGCGTGCGGCCCGCTCTTAAGTTGGAGACTCACACTTCAGAGCGCACTACTGTACTATTTCCAAGTCACTTCCGCAGGGGGCACACTCTGCATGCATGCATTTTCTCTTGCTCTCGCTTGCTTGTGTTGCGTAGCACGCTCAGAACCCATCATGCGCATCGTTACCTACAACCCTCTGGAGGCTAGTTTCGAGAGACACGAGGATATCTCTCATGAGCTTAAAAGCTGGGACATTATACTACTCTCGGGAACACAGCGCGTCGCACAGCTGGACCACCCTGTTCAGGAACACATGCATGCATACCATTGGGGAGTTCACTTCGGCAGACGGATGGGCCTCATGAAAAAGTTGGTCACGGCGTCGTGTGGCGTTTCCATCCTTGTCAGCAGTAAGATCCCCTCCTCGGCGTTGCACACTGTGTTCACCCCCCCGCGCGACATCCAGGGAAGAGCAGGAGGCATCAGGATACAGACAAAAAACCTGGACTTCGTGATCTTCTGCGTGTACCTGGCCCCGATGTACGACGGAAAAAAAAAAGTCGTTGCCCAAAAGGTTTTCTCGTGGATGGAGAAAGAGCTGGATGGGCTGGGGGTCAGGAGTGCCATAGTCGTGGGAGGGGACATCAACAGCGACTTGGGGGTGCACAGGGAGGATGATGGGAGCATGCAGCGCACGCGCACGGTATGTATAGGTGGAGTACGCCCGCAGTGCGAGAACACGAACGGCACGGCGTTTAGGAAGTTTTGCATGGACAATGGACTTGCAGTAGCGACGACGTTCCACGACATAGGGAGCACGTACTACGGACCTAAAGGGGGCCAGTCCAGAATCGACCACCTAGCGGTCCCTGTGGCCGCAATACCACTCGTTAAGACCTGTTGCTGCCTCCACCATGCGGGAAAGCGTTTACAAAAAATCCCTGATCGACGTTACAGAGACCACCTACCAGTAGGCATGGACATAGATATAGACATCAGGAACCACGGCTACCCCATGAAAACGCAAAAGAAGATTGACCGTGGCGAGCTGATGAGATGCCTGCGTACAGGATATCGGAGGGATGAGCTTTTCCAGAATATTGACACCGAGCTCAACAAGATTTCAGAAGAAGAGTGGCAGAGTCTCTTCCAGGCTCGTTCCCCTGATCGTGCGTGGCAGAAGTATGTCGAGTGCGTGCAAGCAGGTATGCAAAAGACATTCGGGGTACAGCGCATGCAGGGGGACAAGGCGTACTTAGAAATGAAGAAGAGAAGGATGGAGCTCCTGGAGGAGAGAAGACAGTGGAGGCAGCGCAGGATTGATGCGACGAATGAGTACGAGGGTAGTTATGTCGAGCACGAGCTTAAGCAGGTTACAGGAGCCCTCAAGAAACTACGAGAGGCTTATCGTGATGCAGATCGGGCTGAGATTGTTAAGGAAATATGGCTCGCGTACTCGGAGAATCGCTTTGCCGACATGCATCGCCTGCGAGTAGCTTACCAAAGAAACGGCCGTGGCCCGAAAAAAAGATTCTACCACACGTACCGATGCCACTGGTCGGGCGAGCAATGGCGAGAAGAATTGGCGAAGCATCCACACCTAGGTGGACTAGGCTGTAAGAACCTAGATTGGGAGTCCACGGTGAATGATTATACAGCCGACTTCGAGGTTAGCGACGGCGACTTTCCCTTCCTCCCCATGAGTGCTGAGTTGATGGAGCATGTGCATCAGGACGCGCGCGCCATGCACAGATACTGTCGACGTGCGTGCAAGCGGCGTGCTTATCCTGAGTGGGGGCTTCCTGTTGAGATGGGCTGGCTATTGTTGGAACCGGCAGCGAATTTAGACAGACCCGACAGCAGTTCCAGGTGGAGGGAGGAGCGTAGAGTACGTGAAGCACAGAAAGAAGAGGACGAGGAGGAACTAGAGCGTCACACCACGGCTTTCCTGATGAAGAAAGGGCGGCAACTCTTGAAGAACCTAGGTTGGATCCAGGGGGAGACCATCGGACTACGCCAGAGAGCAGAAGGACTCCCCCCCCAAGAGCCACTTGAAGCATCGCATTGGACCTTCGAGCACTTAGAAAAAGCAGGAGTTGGCGCCCCGAAGTTTGCAGAGCAGGAGTTTGCGAGCCCGAAGAAACTTAGACAACTACTGATCCACTTCAGGCAGTGCCAGGCCATGCCGTCGAACATGTTGCGTGCACACAGCTTCTCGAGCGAAAAGCAGAACCGCAAGAAGGGGATAGCTGGAAAGCGCATTATGCATGCTTATTGTGGGGTAGGCATGTCATGGCACAGTGGTATTCACAAGCGCGCTCTAGTACAGAATCGTCCCTATTTTGCCCACGGTGGACTGGCGAACAGATCTCGTGACAACGCCATCTTAGTTCTACTGGCCACAAAATGGCGTTGTGAAAAAGCAGGCCGCTCCCTTATCATGAGCAACTTCGATTGCACGAACGCGTTTGCCTCTACCGATCGTGAGCTGCTTAGAGAGCACGCGTGGCAGACGGCAGCGGAGCACGACGTACCTTATGCACTTGGCGCAGTCGAACACACAGCACTGACCTTGCAGGCCTCAGACATGAGCATTGACATGATGAGCCAGCAGGGGGCCCAGATGGGCTTCACTCTAGCTCCACGAGACTTTAACGACGTCTACAACCCAGTGGTCTCGGAGTGGCTGGACGGTGAGCGCGAACAAGAGGGCCAGTGCATTAATGATACATTGCATCCTATAAGTATGAAGATGCTAGACCTTTCGATTAGCACGTTTATGGATGACATCACGAAGATTACCATGTTGCCTATAGGTGCCTTACCCGAGGAGATCGCAGAACAGATGAACCAGGTTACGCATAGATTGGAGACCTCATTGCAGATAGGGAACTGGCTTCTGAACCCGACAAAGACCAACCACTTGCTAGTACTTAGAGGTACTCGTTCTTATCATAGTACAAGAACGCTGAGGAAACAAGATAGTGGGCTGAACGGAGAGGCCTTGCGCGAAATGAGGGTTCTTGGACCATATATCCCGAGCGACCAGGGTATTGGAGGCGAGATCAAGAGGCGTATTACAGCAGCTAGGGCAGCATGGAGGCAATGTTCACCGTTTTGGTCATCTAAAACTACGAAGGGTATTAAGAGGAGCATGTTTATCGCGTTTGTAATGGGGGCTGCGCTTAGTGGCTTAAGTAGTTTCATCATCCCCAAGAAACACACGGACGCGATTGATGTCGTGCTGTGCAAGCTGCTCAGATACCTTTCCAGAGGTAAACACTGCACGGTGGGCGAGAAGGGGAGGAGGCGCGCAGGTAGCATGAATGCAGTATTTAAGGAATGGCGCATTGAACGTACAGCGGACACGCTGAAGGTTAGAAGGCTGCATGCCTATCGCAGGTGGGCCCTCTACCCCCAGGATCACGAAGCAGTTATCGCAGCAGTATTCGGCACCTCGAAGAGTGACGCAGAAATGGGAGCAGCCAGACTAGCACCAGGTAAGCGTATTTGGGCCAAGAGTACACCGTGGGCAAAGCAGTTCGTCTCAGACATGAATGACCTTGCGAGCACGGATCCTGACATGCATGCATGGTGGCACGCGCGCGCGAACGACATTAGCGTGTTCGACCCCAGCACAGAGGAATACAGCATGTGGATCAGGACAGACCCGAGCATCATGAATAGCGCAGCAAGAGAATGGGCAAAGAGCAGACCAGAGGAGCCAGAGGAAGACATGAGGGAGCCAGAGGAAGTTGAGAAACCCTTTTGGTGCGACTTCAGGGGACTGAACGAGGAGACGGGCGAGGAGGAGGTATGTGGGTGTCGTTTTCGATCGCACGCAGCACTTGCAGCGCATAAGAGGGAATACCATCGTCTCGAACCACTACTGCACAAACTAGTTGTAAGCAACCAGTGCCCGTGGTGTAGGTCTACTTTCTCGACGCGTAAGATAGCGACAGACCACGTAGTACGAGCAGCGACACAGCACGGAGTTTGCCACGTGGATCATTCTAGATGGGTACACCCTGTGATCGAGCCAGCAGATCTGTCATGCAGCATTTGTGAGTATCAAGCGAAAGACTTCGACGACTTCCAGACGCACGTTACCCTCCATCACCCAGGGCCTGTAGGTGTACTACACACAAGGCAACATGATGAGCTGGAGGGCGAAGAGGACGCTGGGCGGGGAGGCAGCAGCGTCGGGAGGGGCAGCGGCCTCGGCGGCAGCAGCTTCGGGTGGAGGGCATGCAGCAAAGGGGGCAGGCGGCAGGGGGGCCAAGTCAGCAAAGCAGCACAACGTGGCCGCAGCCCCCGAGCTTCAATCAGCGGTCGTTTCACTACAGAAACTGGCCCTGAAGACAGCCGCCGACCAGAGAGAGATGTCGAACACAGTTTTCGAGTTCTGGATTCTGCCCTACCTGGCGCCGCCTGTGCAGGCGGGGTTGGAAGCCGGCTTGGCGTATCACGAAACCGTGCGCTCGATCGGCAAAGGGCGCAACCAGGGCCCCCCCCACTCCCACGTCGCCGCAGGGTTCTTAGAGAGCGCCCACGGCAGCCTGAACGAGGCAGACCAGCACGAAGGACCAGCAAAGCAAGTACTAGGAGAATTGATGCAGGTCATGGGCAGCGAGCACGGCATGCAAATCACCAGCGACATATTTCGAGTGTTCCGCCTGAAAGAGACCTACAAGCCAGATGGGGTCGAGGACGCAGCTCGGAAGGTGAAATTACAGTACAGTATGAACATGCAGCCAGACCTTCGCACGACCCTCCAGCTCGCCACCAAGCAGGGCCAGGAGGTCCCCACAGTCCCGTCCACGATCGACATGCGCGCGCTGCAGGCAGCGTTCAACTTAGCACTGACCAAGCATCGGGGGGCCAGGCCAGTGGGACCAGGACCTCGCACGGAGCTCGAGCGCGCAGTCGAGAGGCAGCTCCGCAATTTACAGAGGCAGTGATTGCACAAGCGGAGATACTAGCACGAGACCCACAGAAGTTGACCAATATGTATCGGTTACTTGATGGGGGATCTGAGCGCGTGCGACACATAGTGCAAGCAGTAGAATTCGTTCGTGCCCGAATGGCCAGCACCACAGCCAAGTACGTTCAGGGAAGTGGGTCTGGGTCTAAATAATTTTTTACGGGGTCCACATCTTTAGTGCGCACCTCATCTACTACACAGATATGACTACTCGAGGGAGCTGTCATTCACATGAGGGTATTAGGAGGTCGTCCTTAGCCTTTTCCTCGAGCTTACTGGAGAGCGCAAGGCACCAGCACGCCCAGCACCATGGCCAGTGGATCCTCTGCACGTGCTCCGACCCCGAAAGCAGCTCCGAGGCCTCGTCCTACGACAGTTGCCCGTGGAGCGGAGGCAGATGACTACATACAGACGGCCAAGATGACCCACGTCACTGCAGCTCAGCGCATCAAGCAACACCAGTCCATCATGATCGGTGAATACTCTCGCATGACGGCAAGCCTCAGATCGAGCGAAGCACAATTCAGTGTGCTTAGGAACTTGAGGTTTGAGGACTCCGAGGATGAACGGGAGCGTGTGATTCTGGTGCGCAATCTCTCGTCCCAGATCGAGTATATTAAGCACCAGAGGGACATAATCTCGCAGCTCCTTGAGAATTTCGACACGAAGAGTCCCAGCGTTGTAGAGCATAGCTATGTGCCAGATCCAGATGGGGATGGTGCCAGTGAGGTGAGAGGCAGTGCGAGGCAGTAGTATCTGGCACGTGCACGTGTGTCTTGCCCTCCCTCCCCCCTGCCTTCCCGAGAGAGTGCCCCTTCCCTCCCCCCGCCTCCCCCCCCCGCTCTACTACTACGACGTGCAGTGCTGCGACTTCCAGTGGGAGCGCCGGCGCCGCGCGCAGCGGGGGAGGAGGATTTAAACAAAATCGTGATTTTTTCTCGGCTTGCAGAGTGCAGTGAGCCAGCAGAGTGCAGCGAGCGAGCGTGGCCCACAGAGGTTAGCTCGCTCGCTCCCCAGTTTTGGTTCCCCCATCAGTGCTTGCTCAGTTTGGGGTCTGGGCGTGAGGTCTGGCCCCAGGCAGTGCTTGCATCGGTGGAGGATTTGAGGCTGCAAGGGGGAGCCCCTGCTGGAGCGGGGCCGCTTCCAGCAACAGCTGGCGCGGCTCCCGCGGGCGGCGGAGGCGACGATACCCACAGTTGCAGTAGCTCACTGTCCTAGGGGCTTGATGTGCTGTTAAGTCATCGACTCATGGCCCCCAACGGCTCCACCACCACCACCACCTCCTCCTCCTCCTCCTCCTCCTCCTCCTCCTCCTCCTCCTCCTCCTCCTCCTCCGTCCTTCTCTTGCCTCCGTCTGTCCTCCTCCGCCCCGCAGCTCCATCATCTTCTCCTCCTCCTCCTCCTCCTCCTCCTCCTCCTCCTCCTCCTCCTCCTCCTCCTCCTCCTCATTCCTCCTCTGGGCACCTCCCCCGGGGCGCGGATCCACCGGATCTGTCCGGATCTGTCCGGAAACGGTGCCGGAGGCCGCTCTGGGCTCCTCTGGGCACCTCCCCCGGGGCCGGTTTTGTGAGGATGTCTCAAGCGAGGGCGCCGGTTTGGGATTCGTCGGCGGATCCGGATCCCGGATCTGTCCGGAAACGGTGCCGGAGGCCGCTCTGGGCTCCTCTGGGCACCTCCCCCGGGGCCGGTTTTGTGAGGATGTCTCAAGCGAGGGCGCCGGTTTGGGATTCGTCGGCGGATCCAGCGGATCTGTCCGGAAACGGTGCCGGAGGCCGCTCTGGGCTCCTCTGGGCACCTCCCCCGGGGCCGGTTTTGTGAGGATGTCTCAAGCGACCGGCGGATCTGTCCGGAAACGGTGCCGGAGGGGCTCCTCTGGGCACCTCCCCGGGGCCGGTTTTGTGAGGATGTCTCAAGCGAGGGCGCCGGTTTGGGATTCGTCGGCGGATCTGTCCGGAAACGGTGCCGGAGGCCGCTCTGGGCTCCTCTGGGCACCTCCCCCGGGGCCGGTTTTGTGAGGATGTCTCAAGCGAGGGCGCCGGTTTGGGATTCGTCGGATCCGGATCCCGGATCCAGCGGATCCGTCCGGAAACGGTGCCGGAGGCCGCTCTGGGCTCCTCTGGGCACCTCCCCCGGGGCCGGTTTTGTGAGGATGTCTCAAGCGAGGGCGCCGGTTTGGGATTCGTCACCGGATCCAGCGGATCTGTCCGGAAACGGTGCCGGAGGCCGCTCTGGGCTCCTCTGGGCACCTCCCCCGGGGCCGGTTTTGCGAGGATGTCTCAAGCGAGGGCGCCGGTTTGGGATTCGTCACCGGATCCAGCGGAGTCCGGAAACGGTGCCGGAGGCCGCTCTGGGCTGGGCACCTCCCCCGGGGCCGGTTTTGTGAGGATGTCTCAAGCGAGGGCGCCGGTTTGGGAATCCACGGTGCCTGGAAACGGTGCCGGAGGCCGCTCTGGGCTCCTCTGGGCACCTCCCCCGGGGCCGGTTTTGTGAGGATGTCTCAAGCGAGGGCGCCGGTTTGGGATTCGTCGGCGGATCCAGCGGATCCAGCGGAAACGGTGCCGGAGGCCGCTCTGGGCTCCTCTGGGCACCTCCCCCGGGGCCGGTTTTGTGAGGATGTCTCAAGCGAGGGCGCCGGTTTGGGATTCGTCGGATCCACCGGATCCACCGGATCTGTCCGGAAACGGTGCCGGAGGCCGCTCTGGGCTCCTCTGGGCACCTCCCCCGGGGCCGGTTTTGTGAGGATGTCTCAAGCGAGGGCGCCGGTTTGGGATTCGTCGGCGGATCCAGCGGATCTGTCCGGAAACGGTGCCGGAGGCCGCTCTGGGCTCCTCTGGGCACCTCCCCCGGGGCCGGTTTTGTGAGGATGTCTCAAGCGAGGGCGCCGGTTTGGGATTCGTCGGCGGATCCACCGGATCTGTCCGGAAACGGTGCCGGAGGCCGCTCTGGGCTCCTCTGGGCACCTCCCCCGGGGCCGGTTTTGTGAGGATGTCTCAAGCGAGGGCGCCGGTTTGGGATTCGTCGTCCACCGGATCCACCGGATCTGTCCGGAAACGGTGCCGGAGGCCGCTCTGGGCTCCTCTGGGCACCTCCCCCGGGGCCGGTTTTGTGAGGATGTCTCAAGCGAGGGCGCCGGTTTGGGATTCGTCACCGGATCCGGATCGGATCTGTCCGGAAACGGTGCCGGAGGCCGCTCTGGGCTCCTCTGGGCACCTCCCCCGGGGCCGGTTTTGTGAGGATGTCTCAAGCGAGGGCGCCGGTTTGGGATTCGTTCGGGGAGCGGAGGCCGCTCTGGGCTCCTCTGGGCACCTCCCCCGGGGCCGGTTTTGTGAGGATGTCTCAAGCGAGGGCGCCGGTTTGGGATTCGTCGGATCTGTCCGGAAACGGTGCCGGAGGCCGCTCTGGGCTCCTCTGGGCACCTCCCCCGGGGCCGGTTTTGTGAGGATGTCTCAAGCGAGGGCGCCGGTTTGGGATTCGTCACCGGATCCAGCGGATCTGTCCGGAAACGGTGCCGGAGGCCGCTCTGGGCTCCTCTGGGCACCTCCCCCGGGGCCGGTTTTGTGAGGATGTCTCAAGCGAGGGCGCCGGTTTGGGATTCGTCACCGGATCCAGCGGATCGTCCGGAAACGGTGCCGGAGGCCGCTCTGGGCTCCTCTGGGCACCTCCCCCGGGGCCGGTTTTGCGAGGATGTCTCAAGCGAGGGCGCCGGTTTGGGATTCGTCACCGGATCCAGCGGATCCGTCCGGAAACGGTACCGGAGGCCGCTCTGGACTCGTGCTCTTCGCGCCGGGGGTGAGGATGACGTGAGTTCCACAGAAATTCCCTCAAATTATTGCCATGATGCGGCGATACATCGGTTGATCCAGGACTGGCCTTTGCTTGCCCCTGGCCTTGGAACCTGAAGATGTCGACTGTTTCGCCTCTGGCACCAACAGGCCCTAACTGACCCCGCCTTTATGGCTGCCTTTTGCCTCCATTGACATCGCGCGGCTTCCTACCACTCGTCGATCATGGCCCACGCGACAGTACAATGAGAGTGGCAATAGCAACGACCCCACAGCGCTTACACATGCAGTGGCAATCACACGCGCGATCGTCCACGCCTAGCTTTGCTATCTCTACCCTCCCCAGCATTTGGTTTTCCTAGGCCCCGCCTTCGCCTCTGCGTTCCCCAAGCTATCCTATAGCAGTGTTGCATTTTGTGTGCCTACTCTTCCTCTGTCACCCCATTCTGTTAAACCTCCTCTTCCTCCAGTCCTTCCCCCTCCTCATTCCCGTCTCTCGCTCTTCTCCTGCCAGTTCCTAGCCTGCCCTACCGCCTGCTCGTCGTCTTCCTTCTGCCGTCGGCGGCTGTGTCGATACATGGGCCCTCCCCGCGGACATCATCGCCATACAGAGAGAGGCGTCATGATCATTTGCATCGTGCTCGTATGCTCCTTGCTCGAGTAGGCCCCATCTCCCTCCCCATCGCCTCTGCCGCGCTGTGTTTAGTGGATGGTCTCGGTTGCGACTTTTATCAGACTTGTTGTGTGTCAGGTGTTCAGTATCAGCCTGCACTTGTGCGTTCAAAGCCACTCTGAGGGGTTGTGGAAATTCAGTGATGAAGCTCTTTCGGATTAGTGCGAGTTCAGTTGATTGCGGAGGTTATCATTGAGGGCGGGCGGGCCGGCAGCTTGCCTTCCCTTGCTGCGCTCCTTGCCTTATGGGAGGAAAACCACCCGGACCCGGTAATTTCCGTTTGCTAAACTGCCTTGGGCGTTTACTAAACAGCCCTGCCCAGTTCGATTTCTTTTTCGGGTGCGTTTACTAAGTGGCTTCGCGTGTCCGGGGTGATTGTTATGAGGGCGGAACTTTCGCTCTCTATTGCCTTTCCTTCCGGCCAGCATCACTGCCAGTCTTTTGCTGCTGCTCCTCCTCCTCCAGCTTCTCTTCCCGTTCGTCCTGCGTCTGTGTTTCCCTCCAAGGCGGGCTCCCCGTCGGTATCTCGCCGGCCAACCTCGGGCGGGCCGATCTAGGCCGGTGAGCGCGCCGCCTGGCTTAGGCCTCTGTAGGTGAGCGCAGCCCGCCCCGCCGTCCAGGACTCGGGAGCAGGAGGACGATTCGGTAACAAGCCATGGGAGCCTTGCAAGCCTTCGCAATTCCGTCTTTAGCGTCAACTAGCGCCGATTAGCGTCTTGGAGTCGATGAGGTAGCGCCGATTAGCGTCGATTCGCAAACACCGACAAGATGAGATGGGAGGCTCCCATGATTTACCACCGAAGACTACGAACGGTACCGAAGAGATGGGCCAGTCAAAGGATACCGTGGCCAGTCAGGGAACGGAGGAAGTGTGAGGGGGAGTGGAGCAGGACAGGGGTGGTGATATGTGGAGGAGGGGGCGGTGGAGGAGGAAAGGACCTTGTGTTGGCCATGGCCCATCCGCCGCGTCACAAGGACCTTGGCGGGTGGCTGATTCACAGCCCAGTTTAGCGACAGGATGGTCAAATCTTTGCGCGTCTCACTCTGCGCTTTAAGAGCGCAACTGTATGGGCCGACGTGGGTCAAACTTTCCACCCACGCGCGGTATCTCTCACGCATCAGGCCAGAGTTTGAAAGTCTGACTGTATTTTGGAGTAGGGCTCTGCCAATAGGTTTGCGGCCTTCAAAGGGCTCCGACAAGGCTACGCGCGGGCTATCTTTCCATGTGCCTGTTCAGTCCTCGAGCACGGTCGAGTGCAGGGAGGCGCCGTTCCAACACGCAGCTCTTCCAGACCCTAGACCCATCCAACGTCTCTCCCACTTCGTCCAGTCCTCTGGTCTCCCAGTCTTGCGAAGTTCCAAGGTGCCTCGCGGAATGTCATACTCGCACCATGCCTTTCGACGACGCAACATGGCATACTGAAGCGCTTGACGGGCATTGCCATTTGGTTCTCGAAGGCGCGTTGGCCACAAGCGGCGGAAGTCAGGAATTCGGGGGCAGGACCCCATGTGCGGACCTTCGTGATCGACACGGAAACCCAGCATTCAGTTTATTATCTTGCGGCCTGAACCCGATGAACGATCAGAAAATCAAAGCATCAGTCCAGACATTCATGGTTGCGACCTCATGTGGACCAGAAGCCCGAAATTTTGTAGCCAGAAGGATGGCTAGCATCCTAGTTGCTACAGTACCACCCATCATACAAGAACTTATGGGTCAAGAAACTAAGAATATTATTGCTTTCATTGTGTCGTGTATGGGTATCAGCTGTTGCGTGAACCTTGCACTCGAAGAACTTCGCTTTGGCTCTGGCAGGAGTGTTTTGTTTGTTCACCAGCTTGCTTCTGTGCGGCCACTTCCCCAGTCAGAGCTTGCACTTGAAGTGTTCTTGCTCGGGTTCTACGCCGCGCTCGCCCTTACGAGCCTCCCCGTGGGACAGCCCGCGGTGCCCACACTAGTTCCCGCGCAAGTTCCGGTCACGCCCCTGGCTTAATCAAGACTGACCCCGCGCAGGCGATGGCCAAACTCCCAGCTTCAAATTCTGCCCCCGCCCCAGCGACGGCAACACTCTCAGCTCGGAATGGTGTCACAACAACGACCACATTCCTGCTGGGAAGCGAGGCCTCGCTTCGGCGCCGGGCGCAGCTTCCGCCCCTGGAGTGGCGGTCCCGCCTTGTCGCCAGCCGTGCCTGGACCTGGTGCTTCTTCCCTCTTTGGATGCGCTGCCCAGTTTGTGCTGGAGTTCTCTCGCGTGGGAAGGTCACAGTGTTCGCCGGCTAGTGCCCTGGCTGCCGCTGGTGACCACGGCGGCCGCGCTAGTGGTCCTCCAGCGCCGGGCTCACGCCATGCTTAATTTGATCGGAGCTCACACCTCAGCGCCAGCCGCATTCTCAGCCCACAATTGCCCTGTGGATAGTATTCTGTTCAATCTGCTCCTGCGTCTGACGTGTTTCTGATTTTTGGGGCAACTCGTGAGGACGTCGACCATTCGGTCGTCTGAGGATCATAACGATTGAAGCAATCAGTAAGTAGATTGGTGCTCCTTTGTCTGGACTCCTTGAAGCGCTCAGCAACTTTGTTTTCGGTCGATTGGGTTTTCTGAGACAGTCAGTGCGCTGGTAATTAGTCTGAGGTTGACAATCCTCGTAGGCTCGTGAAGAGGACATGGGGCTCGCGATCTGCTTCCAGTTTGGAGAGTGATGGTGATGCTGCTGCTGATGATGAGGATGAGGACGGCGACAACAACAATGATGGTTGTGATGATGACGATGGTGATGGTGATGATGATGATGGTGGTGGTGGTGATGATGATGACGACGATGATGATTCTTAGTTGTTGTCAATGGTTCTGATGGGGAGATGATGGTGATGACGATTCTGCTACTGTAGTTGCTGATGCTGCTGATGCTGATGCTGCTGCTGATGATGATGGTGATGATGTGATGATGATGATGAGGATGAGGAGGAGGAGGGTTGTGATGGTGATGGTGATGTTGATGGCGATGATAAAAAGGAGCGTCAATGGCGGATACCTCAGAAACCTCGTGGTGCGCCCGCGCTCTTGGGGGACAGAAGCTTGCTAGAGAAGGTGCCCCCCTCTCTCCTTCGTCTCCTCACTTCTCCTCCTGCGCGGCCAGGCCAGACCCATGCATCCGCCACACATCCCAACCTCTGCGGCCGCGGGGTGCACGCAGACTTGCTTGTGCTGGGCCCCTGCGATGCCACCGCAGAGCTTGCCTGGCGACGCGCAGGTGCGAAGCAAACCCGGGCCCCTGGCTCGCGTGCGCGCGCGCTAAGGGCATGCAACGATGGGCCGAAAGGCCCAGGGCGCCGTTCAGGGGAGCTGATGAGCTCAAGCGCCCCTCGGGACCCCTCGCCGATCAAGGCGTTGGCAAGACGGCCAGGCGACCAGGCTGTCTCCAAGACTCGCCAGCTAATGGCGACATCTCTTGACGGCTTAGCCTCCAGTCATGCGTTAATGCTTATTATGGGCGGTGCTCCTCTGATGTCCCGTATGTCCTAGCTCTTATGGTCGTATGTTGTTTGATCCATTCCCCTGGTACGACCTGTTTAGTGATGCAAGGCATGATGCGTATTGTTCCGACCTCTAGCAGGCTGCGGAAATGAGTCCCGAGTTGTTTGGACCATCCTCTTCCTTCCCCCTCCGCAGTGATTTTGGCTGGAGCTGAAGAGTTGCCTTGGAAGCATCCCCTCCGGCCCCAGGCAATGCTGTCGAGCAGTCGCCGACTGGAGGGTCCATAATCGGCCTTCTGGCAGCAGAGAGGGCACGCGGCCCATGCCGCTCTAGAGATGGGTGAGCCGGAACCCGCCGCAGACCTCTCTGACAGGTGCAGCACCCTGGTGCTCCTGGCGCCCGTAGGCTGCAGGCTATCGGCACCCCTGGTCGGGATGGACGATTTTGCCGAGAGCCTGGCAGATGCAGAGGCGCCGGGGCTGAATACTTCTTCGCCTGCAGACCAGTGGCAGCTGCCGGGGGGCTCGGCTGCCGCGGCGGGGAGCAAGGTGGCCTCGCCAGCGGCGGCGTGCCCGGAGGGGCGCTGGTCGTGTGGCAGCTGCAGCGACGAGGCGAACGGAGATTTCTCGAGCAGCAGGTCTTCACTGAACTCGAAGTCGGGGGCGGATGCGCCAGCGAGGCCGACGGATGGTCCAGCTTTCATCGACCTCGGCCATCCCGACGCGAAGCTCATGCTGCTGCTCCTCGGCGGCCGCGACGAGGCCCGCTGGAGCGACTGACGCTGTCGCACCCGCGTGCTCCGAAGCCCCACAGGCACCTCCCCGGTGGGCCGCCTGCCATGGCGTGCCGTGCGGCCGAGCTTTTCCAGGCTCGGGGCCCCCGGAGCCCTCACGGCAGCGCGGGCGCTGCCAGGAGTGAGCTGTACAAACGTTTAAGCGCCTGGCGTACGAGCAGGTGCCCATGGGGCACCTGCTCACGCGTGCGATTGTTTTTGAGCCACGTCGGGGTGCACCAAGTTTTCTTTCCTATCAGGGCGCATCGGGGGCATCCTAATTATCAGGGACTACTCGGCCCACGCGATCACAATACACCGCTGATCTTCCAGTCGAATCTGACCGCGCGACTGTCCGGCCACGACGCGCACCATTCGTGCAGCATGTGGTGAGGCAACCGGGCGGATTGTATCGTACTTTGCCGGTAGAGCTGGCGGCGGCGTGGAGGTCTTGACTGTTCGTGCTCGAGGCGTCCCAGAGGTATCGCAGGTCGGAAGAGCCTTGCTGGAAAAAGATGACGAATTTGGCCAGCAGGATCAGTTACGGCTTACCACGCCCGCCCTTGTGATTTTTAATGTGGGGCGCCAATTGCAGCCAGCCGAGCGGCTAGCGTACAAGAGCTGTTTTCATACGCCCGCCCTCTCTAGTGCTACCATGCGACCCATAGTGGCAGCAGCGCACGCCTTCACTTCGTCGTTTTTTTGTTCTCTCTCTCTCTCATGCGGCCATCCCTCATACAGTGGAGGCCTATGCCAAGAAACACACTGCTTGCCTCCAGGGTGCCCTGGGATTCTTGGGTTTCGATAGTTTTGCTGTGGAAATCGTGACGCTTCCACACCAGATATCGATGGACGTCCTGGGGTCTCAGGGTTCTGGGTTTCTTGTGGAAGGTTTCTTGTGGTCTGGCCTCCATTGTATCCGACATGCGCAGGCAAGAATCCGCCAGATTGCCCTCCCCGCGCGGCGCGCGGCGCGACTGGTGTAGACCGCATGCTGGCCGCGCTCGTACGTGCTCCCCGAGTGCTGATTCTTCTCATCCTTGGCCCAGTGGTGACGGCATCGGCAGTTATCTTGGCAGGCCACCGTGACGCTGGCTCGGATACGGACCGCGGAGCAGCGGCTGGCACAGAGTGCCCACAGTGGCTGTATTCGAGGGAACCTTCGCCACGTCATCGTCAAGTCGGCGCTCCGATACCCTCGCAATGTCCGCTCTCGCCCTCTTCGAATCCAGCTCCGAGGCGCCCCAGACAACTCGAAATTCACACGAGTCTGGAGGCAGCTAAATGCGTTGGAATGACAATGGGCCGTCCTCTAATGATCAGCGTTCTCGATCGATTATCCAGCTGCCTGCGGTAAGTCCCGCCACCGTGCCACCCCAGCATTCTGGGTTGCGACCGTTCGAGGGGGCACGGGAGGCCGTAACTTGTGACATTTCGTGCCCCAGGCTTGGGAAAGTTGTGATGGGGACGACGGTGATGATGATTGATGCTGCTGCTGCTGATGATGATGATGAAGGTGATGATCCTGCTGGTGATAATGATGACGATGGTGATGATGATGCTGACGATGGTGGCGCTGATGATGATGCTGCTGATGATGATGATGATGATGCTGTTGACGATGACGATGACGCTCATACTGTTGATGATGATGAAGATACTGTTGATGATAATTATGGTGACAGAGATGATGAACATGATGATGGTGATGCTGCTGATGACGATGACGATGCTGATGATGATGCGAATGAGGGTGTTGATGATATGGTGATGCCGATGCTGATGATGCTGATGATGATGTTGATGATGGTAATGATGCTGCAGATATTGATGATGCTGATGATGATGATGCTGGCGATGCTTATGCTGATGACGATGACGGTGATGGTGATGATTCTGATGATGACGCTGATGAAGATGATAGGATTGTGGTGATCATGATCACGATATTGCTGCTGATGCTGCTGCTGATGATGGTGACGATGACGATGATGGTGGTGATGCCGCTGATGATGATGCCGCTGATGATGACGATGCTGATGCTGATGATGATTATGATAATGCTCGTGATGATGCTGATGATGATGCTGATGATGATGCTGCTGATGATGCTGATGACGATGATGATGCTGCTGATGCTGATGCTGATGATGATACTGATGCTGATGTTGGTGATACGTCTGCTGCTTCTGATGATGATGCTGACGTTGTTGATGCTGATGCTGTTGATGATGGCGATGATGATGACGAAGATGATGATGCTGATGATGATGATGCTGTTAATTTTAATGGGATGGTGGTGGTGATGATGCTGCTGCTGATGCTGCTGCTGCTGATGGTGGTGTTGGTGATGGTGATGGTGATGGTGCTGGTGATGGTGGCGGTGGTGATGATTATGATGCTGCTGATGATGATGCTGATGATGATGATGATGATGATGATGATGATGATGATGATGATGATGATGATGAGGAGGAGGAGGAGGAGGAGGAGGAGGAGGAGGAGGAGGGGGAGGTGGAGGAGAAGGAGGATGAGCGAAAGGAAGAGGAGGAGGAGGAGGAGGAGGAGGAGGAGGAGGAGGAGGAGGAGGATGAGGATGAGGATGAGGAGGAGGAGGAGGAGGAGGAGGAGGAGGAGGAGGAAGAGGAGAAGGAGGAGGAGGAGGAGGAGGAGCAGAAGGAGGAAGAGGAGACCGTCACATGTGGCACTTTTGTCATGCCTTGTGGGGCTATCGTAGAGCTTATTTGGGCCGTCTTGGGGCTGTCTTGGGCTCCCGTGGGGAAGTCTTGGGGTCCTTCGGTGCCGTCTTGGGACTCTCTTGGGCCGCCTTGGGGCTCCCTTAGGCCCTCTTGGGGCCCTCTCGGCCGTATGGGGGTTGTCTTGGGCCGTCGTGGGGCCGCCTTCGCATCGTCTTGGGCCGTCTTAAGGCGTTTTCGGAGGCCTCTTGTGCCATCATGGGAGGTCCTCTTGGGCCGTTTTGGGGCCCCTTCGGGGGTCTCTCAGTCTTCCTTGTGGCCACCTGGGAAGATTCCTGTGCCGTCTTGCGCGGGCCGAAGGCCGAGTACAGCGAGAGCGCGAATGGTGTTCGCCTCCTCGGTTCTACTGGGGATCCGCTGGGAAGCCCTCTACAGTGGGGGCGCGCATCAAGAAACCATCCGAGTTTCGTCAGGGCACCCTGGGTTTCTTCGCTCCGCGCGCTGCGCGATGGCTTCCTGCGGCCGTCAAGGGAGCTGATTCGTTCAGGATGCTCGGGCTTTTCCCTCGGGTGCACCTCGCGCGCGGGCTTCCAGGGTTTGGGTTTCCTGCGAGGGTTTCTTGCGACCGCGCCCGCACGGTAGCGCTTGGGAAGCACAACTCTCCGCAGTCTTGGTGGCCTGCCGGGCGGGGCCGCCCTCGGAGCCACCCGGGGCATCCCGGGCGCCGTGGGAGAGGGCGCCGCGCAGGCGTCGGGGCGCCAGAGGCAGCCTCGGGAGAGGGGGAGGGCGCCTGCGCCTTGACGCGGGCGGAGGGGACACGGAGACTAACACATGGTTGATTTCTACTTCTTTGAAGATTCCTTGATTTTTTTTGGGGGGGGGCAAGATCCTTTCGTTTCGAGTTGTTCTATCCTGGGCCTCTTCCTGGTCACCAGGGGGCTAGCAACAACTAGAAACGAGCACAATTAGAAAGGAGCACGATTAGAAATGAACGACGTGTACAGAAACCCTACCAGGAAGCACTTGGCATTGTGCCACGCCTCGGCGTGGCAACGCCCTTGTTCGTTTTTGTTTGTCATATGTATTGTTTTTCGTCTCTGTCTCTGTCTCTGTCTCTGTGTGTGTGTGTTTCTCTCTCTCTCTCTCTCTCTCCATTGTCCTCTCTGTCAAGCCCCCCCCTTCGCTTGTCACTGCAGGAGGCGCGTGCCCTACATTGGCATACAAGGAGATCCCGCATTCGCCCTGCTCCCCCCCACCACTGGAAGTCAGCGACGCAGCATGCAGTTCTAGTTGTTGGCGCGTCCTGGCACGGTCCCGTCATCGCCCCTCGTCGGTTTCCCGGTAATCTCGCCTCTCGCCTCCGACATCCTCATGCTCTGAACTACCTGGCCTTTGCTTTGCTGCCTCTCCCTGGCGCTCCGACGCTGTGTTTGTCTCGGCGTGGGAAGCTTGGATGTCTGGACCGTTTCCCCGAAACCGGGTTTTCACCCCGAGCCGTGTTTTGGCATTCCCGGGCGCCGAGTAATCGAAGAAGAAAAACCACACAAACATAAACTTGTGGCGCTCCGCGCGGATTTCTTGGATCCGCGCTGGGCCCCCCTGGCGGCGCCTCCGGCGCCGCCCCTGGCGCGCTCCGCGCGCCAGGAAGGGGGTCTGGCGCAGATCCAAGAAATCCGCGCGGAGCGCCAAAAGTTTCTGTTTGTGCTGTTTTTTTGTTCTTCTAGTATAAGGGCCCCCGGGGGCCGAACGCGGCTGAACAACCGTGGTGTTCATGTGACCGTTTTCTTATTCATTGTTTTGCGGATCGGCGCGGGCCCTCGCACCCCCCCCCTCCCCTCCTCCCCCCTGGAGTGGATCTTGGCTGTTTTTTTGGCGCCTGTTTCGATCAGGTGGAGCCTCCCCCCACAGGACGCACTGCTGCAAACAGTCGCACTAAGCAGAGGTCCGGAGCCAGACCCTCCCCCTCTCCCCCCCCCTTCTGCCCACTGCCGAAATGCCGAGTAAGAAAATGCTACCCTTTCGCGACGAGAGGAGGCAGGGGTCTGTCCGGCCCTCCTGCTCTCGGAGGGGGAATCAGGAGCGAAAGAAGGACGTACACGTACATGAAGCCACGCTGGTTTCGAGAGCTCGCGCTGCGCGGATGCTCGTGTCACGCGGCCAGCCTCGCGGGTCAAGAGGCCGTGTTCATGTACAAAGCTGGGCGCGTACGTCCCTTGTGGGCTCCCTAGGGAAGGGGGGCGAGGGAAGGGGGACGGGGACGGGGAAGGCCGGCCCTTCAAATACTGCGCGGCGGGAGCAGCGCTGCTGGCGCAGTGCTGGCGGGGGGTGCTCGGCTGCGCCGGGGGGGGTCTCCCATGGGGAGCGCCCGGGAGCTCCCGGGAGTGCCCCCGGGGCGCCCTGGGAGTGGCTGAGAGCGTCCGGGCAGTGGTGGAGGCGCTTGCTTGAAGTCGGGTCTGCCCCTCTACAGGAAGGATCTTCAAGAGTAGTCCAAGAATAGTCTGGGGACGGTTTGTCCGTTATTTTTTGGATTTTTTTGGTAAAGACATTTTTCGGGGTATTCTCAATTTCTCGCTCAAGCTCCGCCTGCAGGGGGGCGTGCTTGACCCGATGCTTGCTTCGAGGGCGATTGGGGAACGCGTCGGAGCTCCGAGGGAGCGCCAGGGAGAGCCCGGGAGCGCTGGGAGCCTCACGGCGGGAGCGCCTGGGTGCGCCCGCACGTGCCCAGGGGCACCCGGGGGGCCGCTGCAGAGTGGCGGGGGTCCGCCAAGGTTCTGGCCGGGGGTTCCCATGGAGCGCGAGAAGCGTCGAGAGCCCCAGTCTTGAGTGTACAGGAGGAGAGTTCAAAAATAGTGAGCGAATCGTATGGGGGACGATCTGTGAAGGATTTTTGATCATTGTTTGAACTTTTAGTCCGTTTTTGCTCCATATTTTTCGTCAAAAATCCGCCTGTAGGAGGACACGCCCGACCTAACCCCAGTCTGGATTCCTTCCGTGGGGGTGCTTCGCAGGGCCCTTCCCGGCACGTGTCCACGGAGGATAGCACTGCGTGCAACACGGATGTTCGTGGTCACGGTGCAGTAGTTCGGTGGAGCTCTCCTTGTGAGGCACGGGCAGGCCAACGCTTCGCGCAATGGTGACTCCAAACGAAATGTAGTTTTTGGTCGTCTCCAGTACGTGTTTTGGGCAGGTGTGGGACACGTCCAGGGTGGTTCATGTTCAGATGTGGTTCGCAGTGTTCACTCAGTGGAGTTCACCATGGATGAAGTGTACCCGCTGAGTTAGTAGTATAGGCTTGCAGACAGGTTCGTGACCTGGTGAACTTGGCAAACACATAATTATCTGACGAGTGGCCTTCCGTGGCGATGTCAGACACCTGTGAAAGACGCTGTTCAATCGACATTCTGCGAGTGCAAAGTAGGAGGCGTATCGAGTAAGGCGAATCACCACCTGATGCGAAGTTGACAGAGGATCGCACCCTATACGCCGAATCTGAAATGAGATTTGTGGCTTCGATGGTTTGGCCTTCAGTTGTTTCTCAAGAGCAGGGCGGTTTAATGTTGGGCAGTGTAGGAACAGGCATGCTTGGCACGTAGTCGTCGCTAGGTAGCCTGAAGGGGGCGAGTGGGTGAGCCATGTTGAGTTTTGACCAGCTAGTAGAAGCTAGACTTGAGAGGAGCCCACTGCCAGGCCACGCTCCCACAGCTGCAAGCCTTGTGCGATCAGCCTGCGCTGATCACCAGGACACGTCGGGTGGGAGAGTATCTGTCGGATAGGGACTCTGACGAAGGAGTCGGCTGCCTCGCTCGCTGACGGGGAGCACGACCGCAGGAGACCGGCCCGCCTTTTCTGCTCCTGTCCCATCCGCGTGCATGTGCACTTCTCCGTATCCCTCTGCTCCCACACCTCGGTCTCCTCCTCGGAGTTTGTGGATGTTCTTCGCATGTAGGCATTGTCTGTTGCTCCAAATGACCATGCCCAAGTGCGCAATCCTTTCTGAAAAGGGAGTGCTCGACGGTTCAATGGACTGTTTCAGGCACGTCGGAAAGCTGTACCGAAAAGTGTTAAGCTCCACCAGACATTGGTGTCGCAGAACATGAAGTGGGTGCATCGTCGTGATCCCGAAACTCATGGAAAGTACTTCTGTCATCTTTCTCGGCGCGCGTCTCTGCAATGTTAGCATCGTCAAGCGGATGGGCTTGGTGGTGAGGTTCAAGTGAATATTTGCCGGGCGCTCCCTCGTTGTGCACGCGTTATCGCAACGTGGGGAAGAGACCCGGCGACATCTGGATATTTGCCGCTTGTCAGGCTCGCAGAGACGGTCACGTGCTCCGTATGTTCAGAAGGTGTTCAAGTAGTCCACCCTCATCCTCTTACGTAACTCCACGTGCGTGCCATTCTTGTTCTTTCGAGCTGTCTCACGTTGCATTCTTCCCCGCATCCTGCCCTCAGAATTCTGGGGCTTCTTCTCCTCTGCCTCCGGCCCTTCCCTGATTGTCTGCCTGGCCGGACTGGTGGAGCAGAAGGTGCCTGGGGTCACCCTTTGCGTGTCGTCGAGGGTGGAGGGCAGCTTTCTCTCCAAAGCCCGGCGGCGAAGTCCGCGCCCCGCCCTCGTCGATCAGCGGCTCCGTCGGCTCGCCGGGCGGCGGTGGCAGGGCTCAGAGCTCGTCGAGCACGCGGCGAGGCCCAGGCCCTGTCCCCCGCGGGGTGGGGGCAGGGCTCGGACGCCGCCACCGAGAGGCGAGAGGCTCTCGCTCTCGCTGGACACCTCCTTGAGCTCAGTTGGCCCCCCCCCCCCCCTGTCGCCCCCTCCTCCTCCTCCTCTCCTCCTCCCTCCTCCTCCCTCCTCCTCCTCCTCCTCCTCCTCCTCCCTCTCCTCCTTTGAACCTGCCCAGCCTAGGCTCCTCCTTGAGCTCTGTGCCCCCCCCCCCCCGTCGCCCTCGCTGCGGCGGGAGGGTTGCCGGGCGGCCCTTTTTTCCAGCTCGGGGCGCCCCTGCCCGAGCGGCAGGCCCAGCCGGGACGCGCGCCTCTCCGGGCAGGGCGCCTCCTGCAGTGGCAGGGCGCGGTGCGAGTTGGGGGCTTTGGGGCAGGAGGGCGTATGGCAGCACGGCGGATGAGTCCTGGGCCTATTCTGGTCCTCCACATCCTCATCCTCACTCCCTCAGGGAGTAGGGGGGGGGGTGCTGGGGAACATGGGGGTACTGGGGAAATCGGGGGTGCCGGGGAAAATGGGGACATGGGGAAACATGGGGTGCTCGGGGTGCTGGGGAAACATGGGGGGGGCTGGGGAAAATGGAGGTTCCGACATTTGCAGCCGTTTCCCACCTTTATCTCGAGGCAGCATGGTCGCGCCCAGCGCCTCGGGGGCGGTCGGAAGGCGCACACTTGCAAGTTGCTAATTTGCCCCCCTCTCCCCCCTTGGCTGACCTTCCCTCCCCCCCGATCCTCCTCCTCCTCCTGCTCCTCCTCCTCCTCCTCCTGCTCCTGCTCCTCCTCCTCCACCTCCTGCTCCTCCTCCTCCTCCTCCTCCTCCTCCTCCTCCTCCCCTCTTCCTCTTCCTCCTCCTTCTCCTCCTCCTCCTCTCCTCCTCCTCCTCCTCCTCCCTCCTCCTCCTCCTCCTCCTCCTCCTCCTCCTCCTCCTCCTCCTCCTCCTCTCCTGCTTCTTCTCCTCGTCCTCCTCCTCCTGCCGCTCCTCCCTACGCCGCGCACTGGTGGCTCAGAGCGTTTCGTCGCCCTCGCCGGCCATGGCGCCCGCTGCGGTGGTCGCCGTGGCGGACGAGGGAGCGTTCCGCAGCGAGCTAGCATCGGCGACTGGGGCTCCATGCGCAGGGGGGTGGCGAGGGAGGGAAGGTGCAGTTCCGAAGGCAGCGCAGGGGGAGCGGATGGGCAGGAAGATGGGAGGAAGAGGAGGAGGACGAGGAGGAGGAGGAGGAGGAGGAGGAGGAGGAGGAGGAGGAGGAGGAGGAGGAGGAGGAGGAGGAGGAGGAGGAGGAGGAGGGGAGGAGGAGGAGGAGGAGGAGGAGGAGGAGGAGGAGGAGGAGGAGGAGGAGGAGGAGGAGGAGGAGGAGGAGGAGGAGGAGGAGGAGGAGGAGGAGGAGGGAGGAGGAGGAGGAGGAGGAGGAGAGGAGGAGGAGGAGGAGGAGGAGGAGGAGGAGGAGGAGGAGGAGGAGGAGAGGAGGAGGAGGAGGAGGAGGAGGAGGAGGAGGAAGGAGGAGGAGGCGGAGGAGGAGGAGGAGGAGGAGGAGGAGGAGGCGGAGGAGGAGGAGGAGGAGGAGGCGGAGGAGGAGGAGGAGGAGGAGGCGGAGGAGGAGGAGGAGGAGGAGGAGGAGGAGGAGGAGAGAGGAGGAGGAGGAGGGAGGAGGAGGAGGAGGAGGAGAGGAGGAGGAGGAGGAGGAGGCGGAGGAGGAGGCGGAGGAGGCGGAGGAGGAGGAGGAGGAGGAGGAGGAGGAGGAGGAGGAGGAGGAGGAGGAGGAGGAGGAGGAGGAGGAGGGGGGGAGGGGGAGGGGAGGGGGAGGGGGAGGGGGAGGGGGAGGAGGAGGAGGAGGAGGAGGAGGAGGAGGAGGAGGAGGAGGAGGAGAGAGGAGAGGGATGACGAGGAGAAGGAGGAGGAGAGGAGGAGGAGGACGAGGAGGAGGAGGAGGAGGAGGGGAGGAGGAGGAGGAGGAGGAGATGGAGGAGGAGATGGAGATGGAGGAGGAGGAGAGGAGGAGGAGGAGGGGAGGAGGAGAGGAGGAGAAGGAGGAGAGGGAGAAGATGGAGGAGGAGGAGGAGGAGGAGGGAGGAGGAGGAGGAGGAAGGGGGAGGAGGAGGAGGAGGAGGAGGAGGAGGAGGAGGAGGAGGAGGAGGAGGAGGAGGAGGATGATGATGATGATGAGGAGGAGGAGGAGGGGGAGAGGCCGGTGGATTGTGGAGCTCCTCGTCGTCTTCATACGGTTTTTATCGGGTGCGACGCTCTTTCACCCTTAACATTTTTTTCGCCGTGATCCTCTCATACTAATCTTTTCTCGTTCTATCGTTCTCTAGTGTTCTCTCTCTCTCTCTCTCTCTTTTTGTCTCTCTCTCTCTCTCTTTGTCTCTCTCTCTCTCTCTCTTTGTCTATCTCCTGCACCAGGCCAATGCATGCCTATGCGATACAAATCCATTCCCAACCAACGCCAATGCCAATGCAATGGCAATGGGGGAATCCTCTCGTTCGGTAGATTTCAATACGAATACTTTGTGAATGGTGTCATTACGAATCCTTCTTCGGAGGATTTCAATAGCAATGCTTGTGTGTAGGGTTTCGATCGGGATCCTCATGTGGAGGATTTCATCAGGAATCCTTCACGTGGGAGGATTCAATCGGAACCGTTCTTGTGGAGGGTTTCAGTAGGAGTCCGTCTGCGGAGGGAGCCATTCGGACTCGCCAGCGCAATGCCAACGCAATGCCAAAGCTCTGCCATCGCAATGCCAAACCCATGCCAAGGCGATCCCAATCCAATGCCAATGCAATGCCAAAGGGGGGTGCCCTTTGTGGTAGATTCCAAAAAGGAAACCTACATGTGGAGGGTTTCGATTGTAATCCTTCCGTGGGGGGTTTCAGTATGATCTTTTATGTGGGGGGCTTTCAAGCGGATCCCTTCTTGTGGAAGGTAAGGAATCCTTCTGTGGTGGGAGCCATTCGAACTCGCCAGCGCAATGCCGAAGCAGTGCCAATGTAATGCCAAACCAATGCCAATTCAATGCCAATGGGGTGAATTGTTTGTGGTAGATTTCAATAACAATCCTTCTAAGAACCCTCCTTCGGGGGATTTCAATAGGAAGCCTTTTTATGGAGGGCTTCGCATGGAACCCTTTTGTTGAGGATTTCAAGTTGAATCCTTCTTGTGGGGGGATTCAATTGGCATCCTTTTGGTGGGGGTGTTCAATCGGAATCATTCTGTGAAGTGTTTGGGTAGGACTCGCCAGCGCAATGTCAGCGCAATGCCAACGCACTGCTAACGGACTGCCATTGCAATGCCAACGCAATGCCAATGCGATGCCAAACCGTTGCCAACCCAATGCCAATGCAATGCCGATGGCGGGATTCCTGCCCTCCAACAGATTTCACTCGGAATCCTTATGTGGATGATTTGGTTACGAATCCTTCTTCGGAGGATTTCGATGGGAATCCTCCCGTGGATGGTTTCGATTGGAATCTTTCTGTGGGGAGGGGGGTCACTTTGAATTCTTCATGTGGGAACTTTCGAAAAAAGGTCCCTTCTTGTGCAAGGTTTTCATATGAATCCTTCTGTGGGGGAGCCATTAGAACTCGCCAGCGCAATGCCAACGCAATACCAACGCAATGCTAAACCAATGCCAAAGCGATCACAATTCAATGCCGATGCAATGCCAATGGGGGTCCAACAATAATCTTTCTTTAGATGGCTTCGGATGGAATCCTTCCGTGAGGGAGTTCAATGTGAACCCTTCTTGTGGGATGTTTCAATCGGAATCCTTCTTGTGGGGGTTCAACAGGAATCATTATGCGAAGGGAGGTGTCGGAACTCGCCAGCGCAATGCCAGCGCAATGCCAACGCAATGCCAACGCAATGCCACACCAATGCCAAAGCGATCCCAATCCAATGCCAATGCACTGCCAATGGGGGAAATCTTTTGTGGTAGATTTCAATAGGAGTCCTTATGTGGAGGGCTTCGCATGGAATCCTTCTCTGGAGTGTGTCAATTTGAGCCGTTTTTGTGGGGGGTTTCAATCGGAGTCCTTCTTGTAGAAGGTTTCGATCGGAGTCCTTGTGTGAAGGGTTCCACTAGGACTCGCCAGCGCAATGCTTGCGATATGCAAGCGCGCTGGCCACGCACTGCCAACGTATTGCCAATGCGATGCCGAACCATTGCCAAACCAATGCCAATGCAATGCCAACGGGTGGTTCTTTCTTTCGAAGCATCTCAATATCAATCCTTCCGCGGGTGATTTCAATAGGAATCCATCCGTGCAGGATTTCAGTATGAATCATTCAGTGGAGGGTTTCGATCGGAATCCTTCTGTAGAGGATTTCACAATGAATCCTCCTTGTGGGGGCGTTCAATAGGAACTCTTCTAGGGGCGAGGGCAGATGAGGCCACGTCGCATTCTTTTTTCCGCCGCCGACCCCCCCAAACAATATATATATATATATATACACACACACACACACACACAAATACAGTGAACAATAACGGATCCGTTGTTTTTTGTGGGGGGGGGGGCGGGGGGGGGGAGAGAAAAAAAACAAAGAAGGAGGAAGAGGAGGAGGAGGAGGAGGAGGAGGAGGGGGAGGCGGAAGGAGAGGAGGACGCCACAGAGTACGCACACCACTGAAAGGGCGCGCGCGCTGAGGAATTCATCTGCGGAGGATTTCAATAGGACTCGTTCGGTGGGGGGGTTCGATAGGAATCCGTCTGTAGAGGATTTCTCTATGAATCCTCCTTGTGGGGGCGTTCAATAGGAATCCTTCTAGGGGGGAGGGCAGATGAGGCCACGTCGCATTCCTTTTTTTTTTCCGCCGCCGAGCCCCCCCCTCAAAATCATAAAAATAACATGAACAACCGGATCCGTTTTCTATTTGTTTTTTGTTTATTTATTTTTGTGGGGGGGGGGGGGGGAGGGGAGAGAGAAAAAAAGGAGGAAGAGGAGGAGGAGGAAGAGGAAGAGGAGGAGGAGGAGGAGGAGGAAGAGGAGGAGGAGGAGGAGCAGGAGGAGGAGGAGGAGGAGGAGGAGGAGGAGGAGGAGGGGAGGAGGAGGAGGAGGGGGAGGTGGAAGGAGAGAAGGACGCCACAGAATACGCACACCACTGAAAGACGCACGCGCGAACTCAGTGTGAAAGCCTCGCGCGCGCGCGCCCTGGAACCCCGAGGGGCTCCACAATCCCCCGTTGTTGAGGATGATGATGATGATGATGATGATGATGATGATGATGATGATGATGATGATGATGATGATGAGGAGGAGGAGGAGGAGGAGGAGGAGGAGGAGGAGGAGGAGGAGGAGGAGGAGGAGGAGGATGATGATGATGATGATGATGAGGATGATGATGATGATGATAAGGAGGAGGAGGAGGAGGAGGAGGA